GCAGAGTTCTTAGTCGGTGTTTACTAATAGCAGATCAAAGATACCAAAGTGTCTCATGATTTCAGTTTTCAGAAATATTAAAAGAACATCTTCTTCACCGTGGTTATGAATTATGCAAAAATTTAATGATACAATCATTCATTGACAGAAGTCGCAAGCTCTTGATTTAGACTATCTGCTCACCACAAACATCTTTTACGAGCCATATCATTTACTAAAGTGGCTACTGACTCATCTATTTAGGACCATTCTTGTCTTTGTTGGTGTCCAGCATATTTAGTTCGACGGCTTCTGTTATCATCTGGTAAAAAAACTCGAGTAAACCCTGAACCAACGAATCAACTAATCATCAGTGGCTGCATTAAAAATCATCCCTTGTGGCTAGCTCAGGTCACATTCATGCCTAATTGGAAGTGCTATCCAGAGTACTCATCTTCATCTTAATTTAAGTAATGGGACCGATTTCTGATTCGCGTTTGATCACTATTTTCTCAAAAGTAATCTGCAAAGATACATTACCCTTCCTTGCTTGATTAATTATGTTGTCAGACTCGCCATCTACAGAAAGAACCCTCTTCAAATCTCGCTTTCATCAATACTTAAATTATTCCTAGACTTGTATCGAAAATTCGCAAACCAAATAGCCTCGTTTTTTTAGATAAATGACCATATATGCTGAAAATGGTGGGTTCAAAGGATCTCCAAACGTTGGCATTCGATTCAACTTCTCATTTGGCACCAAAAGGTGAGTTGATAGAATCCGTAGGCATGCATCATTTGAACCTAAATGATGATTACCTCAAACTTTTGATTGTCAATTTGAGCGTATGAGTCTTAGCTGCATACTCCTCCAATCTCAACTAAAGCAATGAAAGCAAAACGCCAAAAAAAGTGTGCTGAGGACGGTCGCAATCTTGCAAGACTGATGACGTTTCGTGGTAATCAGAGGGGGCAAATGGGTAGGGAGATAAAAGGTTGAGTAAGTAATATAATCAAAGTTTTCATTGGACTATATGCGAGATAAACTTAACTTGAAGAGAGACCCATCGAAAGCGTTATATCGTGTGCGAGTGGCTGCTTAATTGTTCTAAATTACCCAGACATTGCTTTCTAAAACGAAACTATCTGTACATGGGGCACCACCAGGCAACGGGAGTTTTTTCATAGAAATTGTTTGACCTTGCCTTCGCAACTTGGTCATATTGGCAAGAGAATGTAAAGGAATACCTCTTGTCCGGAGTCCATAGTATGCATGATAATTCCCAGAGTCGGACTGTGGACTTGGTAAATTCCCAGACGTTTCGCCGGCATCGTAGTCGGCATCGTCAGTGACTGATGAGACCTATGGAAGGAGGACTGCGTAACAATATGGCAGATTCTGATCAACATTCACAGCAAAAGGGTGAAGGGGGTGAGTGGGGTGAGAAAGCCAGTGTGGAGTGTGGAGAGTTCTCATGAAATCCGCTCAAAAGGGCGCTCCCTACCACGTTTAAGTGAGCAAGTAAACATTTTGATAGTGAAGGCGGGACACGAAGATATAGGATTGGTGAATAGCCCAGGGCCGAAGGATATATGTCACAATTGTCTATCAGACAATTGATCAAAGGATCGGCTTCACTTGTTTCTTTGACGAGCTGTAGTGTGGTGCTAAGAGTGACAGGTCTCACCGACGAAGCCGACTACGATGCCTGCGAAGCGTCTGGGAATATATCACGTTTACAGGCTGACTCTGGACTATGTAGGCTCCTCCAGGTCTTCCTAGCAATTTGGCCAAGTTGCGAAAACAGGGTCAAACAATTTCTATTCAGCGAAAGGAGACCGCGACTACACAAAAGGCCACACCATCTTGGTATTCGTACCTTCGATTAAACTATGGGAGTTTTTGTGTTTATCCCAACTTAATTGTTGCTAATATTAGGTTGGTTATAAATTGATAAGTTATAGAATGATATACCTTTAAAATGTTTGGCTTTATTTTTAAAGAGACACTGTACATTATGAACGTCCACGGATAAAAAGAACACGATAGACAGAAGAATTATGTTAAACCCATCAAAATTAATAATAATAGACGACACTGGACACCCACAACTCTGAAGCACAACTTGTGAGTCGTCTGTCAAGGTTACCTATCAAATTACAATTTGGTACTGAAGAAATAGACATCACCTTTTCGAGACAATGTTCAGCTCCATTTGCAAGACGGCCAAGTGATTGTATTCTTACTTCAACGTATATTCTGTTCCTCTCGTAATAGTCGCCCTGTGAATTGCGTCGACCTCCATACTTTATTTTTCAGCTTCGCCATTTTCACTGGTCTCATGCGGCCTGACAACAGAGCTACCTGATGTTGTACAAAAGAGGAGGCTCTATTTTGTGCCGAAATTGATAGCGGCGGCCTCAAAAAAAACCGTTCTTGTCCAAGTCAGACCGCAGTTCCGAGCCCTTCGAGGTCTCGTGAGCCTTCCCAGTGGGATTTTACCAGTGGATATGTGATTTCAGAGGCAAACAAGCTGTTATCTGGGCCACACGGCTTCAGCCTGACAAAGAGGAGTTTGGCGAGCAGTCTTGTAACTATAGGCAATTAAACTCAATACTTTACAAAAGTCAATGTTTTCGGGCCTCAGAGTTGATATCAAGATCATCATCTTCGTATGGCACTGATAATGCTAGGCAATAGCAACAGTGCCTATACTCTTGTTCTAGCTCGCAAAACATCCCTCAGTATGCATACTCCCAAAGTGTTGGGTTCAATTTCATTTTGAGTAAAAGTGTGCGTGCGTGTGTGTGTGTGATAAATTGATTCAAGCGTCTATTCCATCAGAATAGGACGGTTGATTCCTCATGGCCAGCTGTCGGTTAGTTTGACTGAAACATGCTGGCATACTTTCCATTACTTTTGAAAAGGCGAGTCGAAAGGATTCGTAACTTGGCCTCACAGATCAAAGGGGAAGGACTTTTTTGCGCAACGTTTTTTGGTGAATATCTCCGACAAGTGGTGACTACGCCATTAGATAAGCCTCAAAGTCATAGTAAACGGATGTTAATGCCAATTTGGGTAATATGTAGCCTCCCTTATAGACATGCTCAGATTTCGTTTCAGAATTTTTCAAATCAGAAGATCAACAAATACATGCAGAGGTATTTTGGATGTTATTATTTTTGCGGCTATCAGCAATTCTTGAACTAAAATTGTGCTCCCTTCAGTTGCTTAAAATGATGTAGGGGTTCTAATAAAATGTCTCCAATGAGATTGGTAGATCTAACAATGCCATTGATATTCATTTGGCCTTGACTTTAGCCTGAAACGCAGTCTCGACCTCGTCTAGGTTTTGTCTGTATTCCTAATTGCGAACAATGGCAAATTTGTGCTTGCAATTACAATCAACGGCGACACTTATTTTCGAAAGGAAATCCTATTCATTACTGCTAAACTCAAACAATACTCCCGTATAAAAATCATCCATATCTTATTTATAAGTTTCTGATATGAAAAATCTACAAGATTTTATGACTGAATTCGTTATGCTCTATCGGGACAGGGTTAAATGTGACTTTATAACAAAGCTGGTTTCTCTCCACTTGCCTATCGTTCATCTGATAGCACATTTCTCACCTGTCGAGGCTATCTTTTCAGTCAAGCTGGGGCAAATTAGTGTAATTTCGTCACTTTGCAGTTGCAAGTTTTGTTGTGGAGTTCGGTAGTGCATTAAATTGATAGAAAGATGGTAATTTTAGGTGGTCTGTCCATGATGAAATGGGGGAAAATTTTCATTCGGACTTGCTACTAAAGCCGACATATCCACAGGACTGGACTTCCGATTTACAATGGCCTCATCAGCATCCTCAACAGGGCCATCTGTACTGCATTGACGGTCTCATGCGCCTCGTGACTAATGGGGAAGAAACGCGATATGGCCTGATAGCGTTTTGCGTAAAGCTCCCTCTTTTAAAGCTCATTGGTAGTAAAGTCATTCCTGGACAACGCAGTTAAGCAAATTTCAGTGACCTCATATTTTTTTCCTTTATAAGTAGGTTTGTGAGACCACCAGTATATCATATACATGAGATTTATTAACTCTTCTCAGTTTAAGGTGAGGAATGAAAGGCTTTTGGGAAGCAAGGCTACGTGAAATTCAAATGAAACGTAAAGATTATTTATATCAACGTGGGTAAATTCAACTACCAGTCTTTTGTCACCTTGAGTAAAAGTAAGGTGTCTAAATTTAATAGTAGCAGTGGTTCATGGTATTTTCGACGACAGATAGCATAATAACCTCTCATACAAAGGCTCTAAATAGTCTCATATCAAAATTTATATAAGTATAGAATATTCATATCGTAAAAATGAGGACAAAGATGTTGTAGTCTCTATTTTGTTCTCAGTCGCCTCAAGCGGTACAGGCATGGTTGGACCTCATTTTTGCAACTTGGTCATGCTGTCGGGGCGACTTAGATGGATGAACCTTTTATCATGTACGAAGTCCATAGCTTAACGATGGAAATTATCATGACTACTATAGCAGAGGACTTTGGACAGGGTGCCTTCATCTAGGTCCCCTGGAGAACACAAAGAAGTTTCGAAAACAGGTCAAACCACTTTTATATAATTTCTATTTAACGTATATGTATATGTATGAGTATATACAATAGTTAAATGAAAACCCGGTATACATAATACTGTAATAACGGAATTTCCAGACTAACATGCAACTTTGTTGTTTACTACAATAAAATCCTTTTTTCCTTATCCGTTACAATGAAAATCCTTTCTAATGGAAAAACTTGTGCAGTCCCTAAAAATTGCGTTATACCGAAATTTGACCCGTATCTATAGGGATAGAATATATACATGTTTATGTATGGGAATATAAAAGTATGTAAACAACCTATTATTAATAGGAATAGTCTGGGAAAGAATATGTTTACTTGAGTTCTCCTTTATGGACCGGTTATAAATGCTCACAATAATTTTGCTTCTATTCAGAATGGTTCCAATTTCTCCGAGTGAATGTCATTCGTGATGGTCACAAGTCGGAGGCCGCAAATTTACGAGACATTGGGTTCAGAGCAAAAGGTGAAACAAGCAATTCTAGTTATTCACGAGACCTGCTAGTAAGTCATGCTCCCTTGCCTACTGGACGTCTGGAAGGGAAGATGGAATCGGACAGATTAGTACCCTGTTTTGTCAACATTGCCAATTGCCCATTTGGCCTCTTCATCAGTGCTTGGCTACGCCTCGAGGCGAGGAACCTACGGCCGCCGAGTCAGTATCCCCAAGATCGAGTACGGTCGCTTCTGCGGGTTGGTCGTCCCGAGGTTGGTTGGCTGTGGCTCAGTGAACGGCCAGTCAAACAAAAGCAAGACAATGCCAGCGGAATTGTAGCAGGTTCTGACGAAAACTTTGGAGCTGATTTCGAATTGCACATTACCGTCAACCGACTGGCAAAGCTGGTCGAGAGGGACAACTTCACAGTGCAACACTTTCATGTTTGGAGAGGCCAGGTATGTTGACTGCCAAGAAAGAGAATTGGTCGTGGGAAATGTTGTGAGGAAGGGACGACTTAAGAGTCAGCAATATTCACGATTGAGTCAATTTTATAGAGACCTTCAACCGGATTCTGATTAAACATGTCTATTTAGGGTTTCACCCTGTGCGATGCAGCCTCACTTGGACTGATGAATCATGGGTCAGTATCTGATCAATAGTTTCGTTTTCTCTGTTGCAAAAATAATCTACCACGGCCAGAGGTTGGGGGGATTTGGGTCCTGCTTGGGGTGCTGTAGAGACCCAGTCGATTTCGAAATGGTTGAGAATACCTTTTGAGAAAGCAAGACTATGTGAAATGCAATAGAAATTTGAGGGCTATTCATATGTTTATGGGAAAATTCATTTCATACATACCTACATACATACATACATAGCATACATTTCACATGTATGCTATGCTGGTAGTCTCTAAAATCTACTTATGAACAAAACATATGTGATCATGTTTTAAAGAATTTATCCTCCTTTACTCGAGGATTCCGAGTCTATTGAGTGTTTTTGTGGCGCACAACACTTCTTTTCTCCTATTTGGTTCCATCCGAATATTCCATGCTGCCAGGCTTAGGTCTGCAGTTTGACCAGAATCAGCCTCAAAATACAACCAGATTGGCCCTTAATTTCTTCCTTTTACATTTATACGATTATGCGTGCCAGAAACAATATATCATTTCTATGTGCGAAGAAACACGGGTTGACGCTCTCTCCGAAACAATCACATCCGAGTCAGGTTAAACTGGGCTAGTATGAGTTGTGTATATCCTATTTCGTTTGAGTTTATAAAGGACTGGTAGTAGAATTTTCCCAAATTATATAAGTAGAGCTGACGTTTCCATTGAATTTCACAGAGCCTTGCTTTCCCAAAAGTTGTTCCCATCCAGGGTGGACTGTAATTTCGACGTCTATTAGGTATTATCAACACCCACAATGGGAATCGAGCCATGATAAAACAGCGTATAATCTCTGCACATTAACCAATACGCCACATTGCCACGAGTGCCCTTTGGTCACAGGACAGATGTGAATCTCAAGGAAGTTCAGGCATTTTCCCATATCACACTTTGTGGTTGGTGAATCGATGAAGCAAATTTATATTTGCTATAGCAATCGACGACATTAA